AAACTCAAGCATGCAGATCATTTAAAATTGTTCCTGTGGTGATAAGTTTGAGAACCAGGCTTCAGCATGTTTTCCCCTAGACCAGACACGTGCTATTTTACATCCCCCCCCCTTTTCCTGTTCTTCGGTAGGTAGTCTATAGGTAACCCCTCGGTGACCTTCCCTAGTTTTCCTATGGCAACACAGACATACCTACACCTCAATCCATGATTTTGTCTTTTCCTCTCTACATGGAAGAGAAAATTCTTCGGTCGGGAATTGTGTTTCCTTTGTCTTTGGATTCACGGTGCCTGTTGAGGAAGGCGAACAGATGTCCACTAATACCGGGTCAACTTAATCGTCCAAGCTCTCCTTCCAACTTCTGGAAAGCAAACAACCTTCTGTTTGCAGAAACCTCACAGGCTTCCTAATTTTAGGACATAATAAGGTGAATGAAGAAGAAAGACATCTGGAAGATAAAGAACACTTGGCATTTCCCGACTGTGCTGTTGTTGTTTACAGTTAAGAGCCTCTTAATAGCTTCCATACAGAAAGACAGAAGAAGGGAGTTCTACGTACTCAGTCTGGGACGTGGGGCCTCGTAAACAGTTTGATTTCATGGCCCTTGCCCGAAATGATTTTGTTTTTAAAATTATTTTGGCAAGAAACATGCCCATTTTATGAAGGCAGGAAGAACATTTCTATAAGTTCAAACTGGGGACTTGGTTCCATTAAGAGAAAACTCAACTCTTTCAAACCAAAAAGGCTCCTGTACCCACTGCAAGAAGGTTGTTGTGAGAAGAGATTCAGATCCAACAATGACGATACAAACATGAAAGCAATTTCTGGCTGCAAAGACAATTTGAAATTCTGAGGACCGCAGGCCAGGGCCTGCCATTGGAGTTGGCAAAGAAGGAAGAAACAATCGACTCTTATTTTGGCTTTTACCATAAGTACAACTGCTTTGTGATTCTTGCCCAAAGTCTTTAAATGAGATACTTGCTTTGTATTTCAAAAAGTGTCTGCATTCCGATGTGAGCGAAAGATACAGCACACTCTTTTTCCTTTCCTTCTAGAAACAAAGCTGCTTGGAATAATATGTTGAAAACAAAGTTTACTTTCCAGCATGGGTGGTGACCCGATTGTTCCCCACTAGGAAAATCACAGGGAGGAAAAGGCAAAGTATGAGAAACAAAAAAATCCAGTAAAAGTTCCTACTTTTTATGACTTGGAGATTTTTATGATAAGGAGGCCCTGTTTTTAGGAGTGAATATTGCAAGGCATGGGGACTACCTCTCAAAAAACTTCATTCTAGTGCAGATGCAGCCTTTAGTAATAACCTGGATCTCATGACCAACAAGTAAGTAACAGATACATGGGATGTATAGTACACATTTTGCATAATTGACATCTGGCCTAATTTTAATCATAAATTTGTTTGTCTCTACTTATACTTTGGACAAAGTAACATTGGGTTAAACCATATAAACTGCCGTTTTGTAGGTAAGAACTGTCAGATAGTAGTAAGTATACTTATATCCTCTTTAATTAAGAATAAAGTGATATTTTTAAGGTTTTTTTTCATAGGGTGTCTGTGTTCACCAGAGAGACAAACAATGAGAGGGGAAGTGAGAAATCCCTCCTAGAGGGGATAGCCACACTGTAATTCCTTTTCCTCCATTCTCCTCTTGGGATTTGGGGCATGTACACACACATGTTCCTGGCATGATTTTCAAACCACCAGGTCTGGGACTTGAACTGTGGTCAGCCATATGGGAATTTGGCAGCTTAACCACCATGCCATCTGCTGGCCCCTAGAATAAACTGATTTCAAAGTAACAGAGACATTGGGTCTCAAATGCAGTCCATCTCTCTTCATATCAGTTCAAAATTATACAGTTATCCCCATTTTACAGATGAGGAAATGGAGGCTTCTGCAAGTGTGCTTGTCTGAGGGCCCAGAACGATCAGTGCAGAGAGCTCCAGAACAGAACTGGGTTCTGACCAGAGTGCCAATGTCCTGCTTCCAACCTGATGGAGGAGCCAGGTGGGCTACTTCCAAGGGCTTACTTATCAGGAGCATTAAAAAGTGAGGAAATGGAATAAACTTAGCCCCATTCCTTCCAGGAGGGCTATGGTGTGTTGTTGGGGAGATACTCTGATAGGCTGCATGGTTTGTGCAAGGGGTGATGGTGAACAATGTCCCCAAGAGATAAGTGACCGGGCCAAGACACTGCAAGGGCAGTGGTGTGTGCTTGCCTCCGTGGCCACTGGCTCACTCGGTGTGAGGACTGCGGTTCACAGGTGGCTGTCCTCCCACTTCCACGAGATCCTCCAATGAACCCCTCAATTCCATCACTCACCGAAGGCTTCTGAATCGCTATTAAACCTGGGAATGTAAGAAATAGGTTTCTCCATCCTTGCCAGTGTGGACATGGTTCACTCTTTTTTGCATTTTTATACCACAAACTCTCTGCAGAGTCTGCCTAAACACACAGATATTCTATGCACATCATTCGATGAGAGAAGGAAAAAAGGGCACATTTTAGTGATCAAATAACTGAAAGCACATTGAGGCAACAGATTCAAAATCATTGAAAATGTCCCCAAGCCATTCCCAGCCAATCTTCTTTTTCCACTACTTGCAAGTCGCATCTCACTTGCGTGAGAGCGTCAGTGATTCTTCAGGTCAGAAGCTGCCCTCCTCACATCCCAGAGCACAAACAGAAAGACTTGTACTAGGAAGTTGCACACAAGTGCCCAGCCTGGTCTCTGGAATCTTCCACTGTGGACAGCGCTCAGAACTTTTTTTTTTTTTTTTTTTTTGAGAGATTTTCACTGTAGGGCGCGTGCGCTCGCCAGACAGACAGAGAGACATAGAGACAGAAAGCGAGAAATCACCCCCCAGGGGGGATGGTCACGCCGCAATCCCTTCTCCTCCATTCTCCTCTCGGGATCTTGGGCATGCACGCACACGTGCCCGGCATGAGTTTTAAGCCACCGGGTCCAGGACACGAACCGCGGTTGACTACGTGGGAGTCCAGCGACATAGCCATTACGCTAACTGCTGGTTCCCTAGCTATCAGAACTTTTGATCTTAGTTAGCTTAACAAAGTCCTAGGGCTTAGAGGCAGAGCCAGCTCAGTTCATTTGACTTAGTCATTCTTTTCCTTGTCGGTGTACAGTTTGGTCATCGTGGGTTAAGGAGATGACCAGGATGTGCAAAAACACTTTACCGGAGGACAAATAATAAACATGAAATATAAACATCATTTTCTGTGACCTGCAATTAGAACTACAAAGGCTGTTGTATACAGTAAGCCTCGAGTCCAGCATCTCACAGGGTTCCAACACTCGTATATTTCACAAATAGAATGATGAGATATCCAGGCACCTGCTCATCAAGACAGACTGTGCTGCTGATAACTGGTCTCTGCTTGCCTCTTGGGTCTACCTAGATGGGAGCTATGATGTTTAAGGTCAGGGATATTAAGTCAGAGAGATAAACACACAATAAGCAAAAGAATTTTCTTTTCATCTATTACCAACTCCTAAGGATTTAATAGTCCTACATAGCTTTCCAAACAAAATGGATCGAATGCTCAGACATCTGCAAACATCCCCTTTTTTATTCCCTTCTTTCGTTCAAGTTTTGGGTTTGCAAACTCCATCAGGTATACATGGAGCTCTGCACAATCTCTTGGTTGATTTAGGGGATCTACATTAGTAGCCTTTTCTGTACTTTTTTTTCACACTCCGGACTGATTCTAGAGATTAATCTTTATGTTACCTCTGAAAAAATAAGCTAATGGGTCTTCAAAGGAATTAAGAAGCATTCGAATTGAACCACAACGCTGGGTTATAAACAATTTTTCATCACAATTGCTCTTTGTTTAAAATGTAATTTTCTACCTTCTGACAGCCATTAAGCTACATATTCCTCTTGACTATAGTCAAGCCTCAGACTTCTCTCCTGCCTACCAAATAAAGAATTATATTGGGTCATCAGAAAAGTCATGATGTATTTTTTTCCTATGCAAAAATGTGTTATGACTTTTCTGATGACCCAATAATTTATATATGCTACCTTCAGACTAAAGTGCTAAGCTTCTAATCATGGCTTGATTTTCTAGTGACTTGGTTTTCCTGCGACTAGCCAGGAGTCCACCAAAAGTCACCTCATTAGAACAAAAGATATTCTTAGCCCCTAAGAAATTCCAAGGGATGTGGAAGCTCTGTCCCAGGAACTAGGGTCAAAGACCAAATACCTATTTCTTATGTCAAAATGAGTAACTAGAATTTTATAAGAATATAGGCAACCAAGGACTGTATTGATGAAACTACAAGTTTATAGGAATGAAAGGAAATGAGGAGCATATTAATAAAACCATATAATCAGCAAAATCTACACCATCAGAAACTCTACAGAACAAATTGCACAATTTATTTTTTTGAAATAAATTACATGAAACTATAAAGAGGTAAAGGAAGGATGAGACCGATAGTGTATATGCAAGGGAGAAAGAGAAGACCTACAGATGAAAAGAGACGTCAACAAACTGAAACAATCAGTTGCAACATCAACCAATCACAACCCCCAATGAGAAACATCAACCAATTAGAAAGTAAGGGCCTCGCTTCAGTCCTAATTGAAGCAAACTGGGAACAGGGAGCCGAGAGGAATTTAAGAATGATTTGACAATCCAGGTAATTTGAAATATAGCTGGACATTTAATATTCCTGAGGGATTATTAATTTCTAAAGTTACATGATAGCATTGAGGCTGTTTGGAAAATGAACTCGTGTTTTAGGGATACTGGCTGAAGCATTTGTGGACAGAATGGCAAGCTATCTGGAATTTGCTGCAAAGTAATGAGTGGGCAAGAGCAGAGGTGGGTAGGGGAATAGCTCCGCACTACACCAGGACTAATCCACTAGCCAGCAGCTCCTCGCCACCTAGGAGCTTATTCCAAATGGAGACGCTCAACCCTCACCTGGACTATCAGACAACTGCTTTTTTTTTTTTCATGGAATGCTTCGTGAACTTGCATATCATACTTGCACAGGGGCTATGCTGATCTTCTCTGTATTGTTCCAATGCAGGTATATGCACTGCCAAAGCGAGCACCTGCATTTTAATACTCAACTTGATTCATAAGTTCATTGATGCTCTAGGGTAACAAGTATCATGGTTTAAGCTGAGTGATAAATACATTAGGATACTATCCTCTCTATATTTCCATGTATCTGAAAAGTTCTATTATAAAAAGGTTTTAAAAAAAAAAATGAAAGCCAAATTAAAGGGAAGGACAGCTCAAGTGTAAGGAACCCCAGAGTAGTTCTTTCTCTTCCCTCTTTACCTCACTTTCCCTAACTGGTTCCCTGTTCTGGTCAATAGAACATTCCCTAACCTACCCTGAGGTTTGCTTCTTTGGCAAGCTCCAAACTGCATGAATTCATAGAGCTATTTCTATTGTGTTACCTACTAATCTTAAAACCCAAGATCTGCAAGTAGATCTCATAGATGGAACAATTTCTCTGCTCTTGAAGCAGAACAATTTCTTTGCAAACCACTTTTGAAGCCTTCCAGGAGTTAAGCAGCCAGTGATGTCTCCTGCCAGGAATGATTTACAAAACTCATGAGGAGACAATGTCTTCCAGCTGTCTCCATGCTGTGGCCGAGCCACTTATTACAAAGGTCACTGTTCTTTCTCTGGTTATTTTTAAAATATTTTAGCACTGGTATGACAACAACAAAGGGGAGGAAAGGAAGATCTCTGTGCATGTGGATACAGCCTTGTTTCCTGCTGTTCAGCTAGGAAAGAATTGGAGTGAAGGTTGAGAGGATCAACCAGACTACCGGAGAACAAAGCAAACAAAGGTCATTATTCGCGTGTTCCTCCTTCTGAATAAGGGAGGGTTCTTTTAGTATACAAATGCATTTTCACAGTCATTCAAAAATAAAATCTACTGGGACCAGCAGTTAGTGTAATGGCTATGTCACTGAATTCCCATGTAGCTGACTGCAGTTCGAGTCCTGGGCCTGGTGGCTTAAACTCATGCCGGGCGTGTGTGCGTGCGTGCCCAAGATCCCGAGAGAAGAATGGAGGAGAAGGGATTGCGGTGTGGCCATCCCCCCTGGGAGGTGATTTCTCGCTTTCTGTCTTTCTGTCTTTTTCTGTCTTTCTGGCGAGCACACGTGCCCTATAGCAAAAACCTCTCCAAAAAATGAAAAAATAATAAAATAAAATAAAATCTACTCAACTACCTTGTCCCATTATACATTGTCCCATCTCATCGGTCCTCCCCCCACTCCCATTTCCCTCAACTGATTACTGAATCACTTATTGCCAAGTCATCAGTAGCCAAGGTCTTTCAGGAATTACCCTGTCCAGTAATTTAATAACCAAAGCCAGTAAGTGTTAGCCAGATTTCATGTGCATTTGTAAACAGCAATGACATTCTTTTAAATAGTTGGAAGAAGTAAGTTTTACTAGTAGTGGTATAAATGCAAAGGAAAATAATGAAGTGTCCCCTTCACCTCTCAGATTATCATTATGGTTGGTGGGCATGTAAGTTAGTACAGCCAGTATGGAAAACAGGATGGAAGTCCCTCAAAAATTAACAATAGAACTGCCAGATGATTCCTCCATCTTACTAACCGGTATATGTCCATAGGAAAGGAAATCAAGATGTTGTGGAAATACGTGCACACCAATATCTACTGCGGCACTTTTCACAATAACCAAGATACGGAGTCAACCTAGGTGTCCATCTACAGTCACAGATAAAGAGTACATCTCACACACACACACACACACACACACACACACACACACGATAGAATACCATTCAGCCATCAAAAGGGACAAACTTTTGTCATTTGAGGTTAAATGGATGAGCCTAGAGGACATTCTGTTAGGTGTCGCATTCATCCCTAGGGATTTCATAGCTTATACTGTTGTAAATAGTATGTTTAATTTCAATATTTGATTGTTGCTATCAATTTTTCTGTGTTGATCTTGTATTCTGAGATGTTGCTAACTCACTTGTTGGATCTTAGAGCTTTTTGGTAAATTCCATTGGATTTTCTATGTAGATACTCCTATTGCCTGTAAGAGTACGTATGTCTTGTTGTATGAGCTTTCATAATTTGTGTCTTTCAGTGAAAAACAACTCAACTGATTGACATAAAGTTGATCACAAAGTTTCCTTATCATTAATTTAATAGCTGTAGAATCTATGGTGATGACTTTTTCTTGATTCGAATATTGTTCATTTGTTTCTTCTATTTTTCCTGATTAATCTTGTCTGGAGGTTTGTTCATTTTAGAGTACATCTCAAAGAATCCATTTTTTCATTTTGTTGATTTTTAGCTGTTTATCTGTTTTTTTGTTTTTTTGTTTTTTGAGAGGTTTTTTTGCTATAGGGCGCATGCGCTTGCCAGACAGACAGAGAGAGACATAGAGACAGAAAGCGAGAAATCACCCCCCAGGGGGGATGGTCACGCCACAATTCCTTCTCCTCCATTCTCTTCTCAGGATCTTGGGCACGCACGCACACGCCACCAGGTCCGGGACGCAAACCACGGTCGACTATGTGGGAGTCCAGCGACATAGCCATTACGCTAACTGCTGGTTCCCCTGTTTATCTGTTTTTTATCTCATTTATTTTCACTTTTGTGTTTATATCCTTTATTCTACATACTTTGGGTTTTCTTTTTCTTTTGTTTTTGTTCTCTCAAGGTGCAAAGCCTTTGATTTACTTTTTCTTTTTTAATATAGGTTTGCAGTGGGCCTCAATTTTTACCTTTGTACTGCTTTGGTAACCTCCTACAAATTTTTATATACTAGGATTTTATTTTTATTCATTTAGTTAAAAAAATCTTTATAGTCACCCTTTGGATTTCTCTCTTGACCCATGGATTATTTAGAAGTACATTTTAGAAAACTAGAGTTTTCTAAATATCTGGAGATGTTTCAGATATTATTTATTTCATTTGCCAAACAGTGTGTGTGCTCCCTGGAGGGGGGTGTGATAAAGCACACCTCGTGGGGCATGGTCACCCCGCCATCCTGTCTATTCCAACTTTCCCTTTGGATACACACACATGTGTCTTTTCCTGGTCACCGTGGTTCTCAAACCAAACAGTCAGCCCTGTGGGACGAGGCTGCCTTAACCACTAGGACACAGATTGACAGCAGATAACATTTTCTTTTTTTATTTAAGAGAGATTTTTTGCTATAGGGCATGTACACTTGCCTAAGAGAAAGGGAGTGACAGAAAGCAAGAAGTCGCCCCCGCCAGGCAGGATAACCATGCCTCAACCCCTTGTCCTCCATTCTCCTCTCCGGATTTTGGGTATACACGTACATGGACCCAGTGTGAATTTCAAGTCACTGGTCAGGGACTCTGGTGGGCCATGTGGAAGTCCAGTGATGTGGCCATTATGCCATCTGCTGGTTCCATTTTTAATGTATTTCCTTTTTAATCCCACTGTGGCCAGAAAAATTACTTGTACAACTTGAATCCTTTTCATTTTATTGAGACTTGTTTCATTCCCCAGAATATAATCACTCTTGATAAGTGTTTCACGTGCAGCGTAAAATAATACATATTTTACTGTTGAATTAAAGTGGCCCAAAAATGTTCACTACATCAAACTGTTTGACAGTGCTATTTACATTTTCTATACCTTCATTAATTTTCTGTTTTAGTTTTTCTAACAATATTGGGAGAGGTGTATTGAAATCTTTGACTTTCACTGTTCATTTATTTTGTTCTTGATATTCTGTCTTTGTTTCATATTTTTTGCTGGTTTGTTTGCTTGTTTTAGGTTTTTGTCATGGGCACATGTGCTTGCCAAAGATTGAAAGAGACAGAGAGAGGAAAAGTGAGAAATCACTCCCCAGGGACAATGGCCACACTGCAATTCCTTCTCCTTCATTCTCCTCTTGGGATTTGGGGCACACATTCACACGTATCCAGTGTGATTTTCAAGTCACTGGGGCCAGGACTCAAATTGTGGTCAGCTGTGTGGGACTTAAGCACCTTAACCACCAACCACCTGCAGGCCTTGGTTCATCTATCTTAAATGTTGTTACTATCATTTGTCTTACAAAGAATTGACTTCATTGTTAGGATGGGACCATCTTCTCATCCCTAAGAATGTTTTTGCTCTAAAATGTACTGTGTCTGTTGGGACCAGCAGTTGGCACAATGGCTATGTTGCTGGACTCCCACATAGCTGGCCGTGGTTCAAGTCTCGGACTGGTGGTTTAAACTCACAAGTTGTACATGCATGATTTCTCGCTTTCTGTGTCTCTCTGTCTTTCTGGCAAGCACACATGCCCTATAACAAAAAAAAAAAAAAAACAAACAAACTTGATGGGTGAAAAAGTGTTGAAAGTGTGAATAAATTAGATTTTAAAAAAATCATTCATTCCAGTCCTCAGAAGAAGTAGGCAGGTTTTGCTACAGCCTTCTAAAGTTTTTTCTTCTTGAAAACAAGTTACTTGATATATATGTACATATCTGAAATAATATGTGTGTGTGTGTGTGTGTGTGTGTGTGTATAATATGCTTTAAAAATGGCCGTACATGATATATGCTAGTCTTTCAACAGGATGCTAAGACATAAAAATTAAGTATTCTTTGATTAGTCTTAAATATAATATTTTCCAGGTTAAATAAGAAAGATGTCCTAGAGTCCTGTGGAGTTTCCTTGACACAAGAGGAGCTCACGCTCTCATTCCTGCCTAAAGGGTGCTATCTGCACCCTGTGATTATGGTCCTGTAGTGACCGCACTTTTAGAGCCTTAATTGTCCAACTTTAGCAAGACACAATGATAAGTAGCATATGAAAGATGGAGGGAGCCAGGTGTCCTAAGAGTCCTTTGTCTTAAATTCTTTACCTAGAATAGACCTGTCAATAACCTCTCACTATCTGGACCCTTCTAGAGACTGAATGATACCAAGAAAACAGCACCATCCTTTAAAAATAACATCACGGAAACTTTTCTAGAAAGCCCCTAGATTCCCACCCCCAGACACTCACATTGTCACTTTCCTGACTTGTGTTTAAACGCCTCGATTGCTCTTCAATGGTGGAGATGGTATTGTAAGAGT